CGTCCCCTTTAAGAGGTTTCTGCCGCTGGCTCCGTCTCCCTCAGCCGCTTGAGACCGGGCAGCCCTGCATCCTTGCCCCGTCCTACCTTCTGCCTTTGCAGGATGATTTCTTGTATTTCTCCCTAGTTGCATGGCTTGTTCATCTATATCCCAGGAGATTTTCCTTGCTGCAGCTCCTTGTTTCCGTGACTACTTTGATTTGGTCGCCAGAGGGATGAACAAAGCCTCTATCATCTATGCCATTTTTTTCGGTCTGGGCACAAACTTTTAAGAAGCCACAAGAAAATCTGCAGGAAAGGGGAGACCTAGCAGACAGAAAGCTTTTAAACAACAACTGCTCTACTGTAGTTAAAAGCCACATGCCCATCACTGTCAGCAAAGGCTGAATAGGGTCACCAGGCTATCAGTAGAGACCACATGGTGACCTGCTCTCCCACTCTCACTCAGTGGAAACAAGGCACCTCCTCGTCTTCTCAACATTGATGAGTTTGTTTATAAAGAGAAGGAATCAATGGAAAAATAAGATATTTAAACCAGAAGATAATTGGGTGGGATCAGACCCCAGAGACAATGGAATGATATGGAGAATGTAACACTAGTTCCTTAGATACAGAAATTAAAAAAGGGAAAGAACAAATGGTGAAACTGCTGAGGTGGAGGAGATAGGAATTAAGGACATTCTCCTCTGATGTCCTCCTGCTGTCTTTGAAGACGGGAGAGTGAGAGAGGCAGTGATAGACATGGATGTTCTTTTCCATCGATTCCTTCTCTTTATAGTCATGTTTTCCCTATACTTAAAAACAAACAAAAAATACTTTCCTCTAGACTGTCCTCCCACAATGTCACATTTTACCTCTCTCATGTTCTTTCCAGGCAAACTTCTTAACTCTTTGCAGTAGTGTTCCAGTCCCACCCGGATTTCTGTTGTAAGTGCTCTTGATAGTTACTGGTGACTTTGAATAGCACACACCTGTGACTCCTGTAAGTCAAAGCCTTTTACCATCGGGCCTCATTCTACTCCCATGTCACTCCTACAGCATACCACAAGCCTTCTCCTTTGCCCATGCTGTTCTCTTGGGCTGGAATGCTCTTCTATCTACCTCCCTTCTAGGCCCAGTTTAGATGTGACTGCTTCTGTGAAGTCTTTTTCATCATGTAAATCTTCTCTTTCAAGGGCTAACACAACCTTATTTCTCACCTGTATTTTAGCACTTTATTCTTTCTGCTTACATTTTCATTGGTTGTCATCTCCAAGTCTGTCTTCCTCAAAGAGTTTCCCTACAATAGGAGACAAGGACCATGGTTTGGTCCCCTTTGATTGCCCCTGCAGCATCTAACACAGCATGCCAATAGCAGCTTCCAGGCATCTCAGATTGATGTCAGGTGTATTTAGGACTTTGGAGGTTTTCTGCTCCTTACCAACCATCCCACCCCATCTGTACCTGCCACCAACTCTGTGTTTAGGTAAAGAAGAGCTAGGAAGGAACATTAAGAATGACAATAGGTGGCAGGTGGGAGATGCCAGTGGAAGGTTGAAGGTGCTGTAGCCCCCTAGCATGTGGAAATTATGCCTTTTGAAATAGTGCCCAAAGTTGATTTTCAGCATCTCTGGGCCAGGGCCCAGGCACCTCATTGCTACTTTTGCTGAGTCCAGCGCTCCTAACACTAGCCTAGGCGGGGTGTAGGCAAGGCAGCTTTGGCTGTGCTGTAGGCATCCCCTTCTCTCTTCACAGCTGTTGGACAGGGCGTATGTGTTTACTGGACACACTGCCCCCACTTGCTTGGTTCAGACTTGTCTCAGAACTGGGAAGTCATGACATAAAGCCCGTAGATCAACTGCTCCAGCGAGGTCTGCAGGGTGAGCGTGGGGGCACCAGTTCTCTTCCCTGAGCTACTCACCTTCTGGGCTCTGGCTTATCTTCAAGGACACAAAGTTAAGACTAGGTCTCTCTTGTCTCTGTCTTGGTCAATTTGGATTCTATTTCACAGGGCCCAAAACTGCTCCCAGGCTTTACCACAAACACCTTAAACGGCCCCTCTATTGAAGTGTGCAAACTCCTCCTGGTTTCAGCTGCTTTTCTCAGGACAGCTCACTGAAATTTTGCATGAGTACCTGTTGATTGTTTTGCAGCTCTCAGATCTTTCTGATGCTTATTGCTTTTCTGCTTCTTTTTACACAATGGCTCCAGACTACATTCATTTTGCAACTGTTGGTGGTACCCTGTCATCTGGTTTTGTTGTAGATGCTGTCCTTGGGTTTCAGTTTTGCTGTCCTACTTGCTATGTTTTTCAAGGGGAGATTTATTAAATATGGTACTATCAGTGCTATCCTTTCTGTTGTGTGCCTTTCTGAAAGCAAGAGAAACCTTCACAGAAATATTGTGATAGACTGCCCTGTGTACACCTCATTGGCTAGAATGATTAACACGTGCCCCTGCTTACATAAACCCAGTGACAAGGAGGATGGTGTTAAACCACGATTGGCATCAAGATTCACTTCCTGGAATTAAAAAGGAAGGAGCATATAGGCACATGCATGGTGAAAAACTGACCCTGAATGGGGCTCTGCCTGAAAGGAGGAGCAAGACTGCAGCAGTGGACAGGGGAACAGATTTGAGTATAAAACTGTCAAGAGCACTATTTTTTTTTTTTTTTTGAAATTGACAGAATTCACAGAAACATAGTTTACAATATTATCCTGTATATATATATATATACACACACACCTTCATGTAACTAACAAGTTTCCAGAAACAATGCTTACTGTTATAATATAGGAAAAAGAACCTAGTTAATTCCAAATATAATTTTATTAATATTTAAATACAATATATAAAACAATGCCCCAAATTAAGTACAAAACCAAAATTTCACAAAGATTGTATTTAATGTTATGGGTGTGCCTGCTTGTTCATAAGTTCGTTCCAGTCAGGGACACATGAGGATAAGGCTACACGCATGTCAGGTGCACTATTCAGCCTATTTCTTTTCGTTGTTTTCAATCATGTCAGGATTAAAAATCCTAATTCACACAAACGGGTAGTTGTGAATAGTAAAAACAGCAATATACACTTTCTACTTAGCAATGGAAATTCATCTTAGATCTTAATCCAAAATGCCGATAAACTTAATGTCTTATAATAATTCCTCAGCGTGAATGATGATGAACTGAGCTGCAACAATTCATTCTCTCCTTCAGGCATCAAGTTCAACTCAATTATTGATTATGGGGTTTGAAAAGCAAATGGATCTTTCATCCAAATATTTTCCTTTAATGATTTAAATTTCTCTTCTGGAAAGTAATGATTAAAGATTTGAGATAAAGAAGTGAGATGCAACAATATCTCTAATTTTATTTCTTCCATGCAGTCTTCATTAATAATGTTCTCTTCAATGTGTTGTAACAATGTTGGGAAGATATAGTAGCTTGGGCGATTACTTTTAAGTCTTGTTTGCCAAAACAATAATGTCTTTTGGAATCCTAGAATATGTTCCACATATTGAAACATATCATTGTTTTTCCCCTGTAGTTTCAAATTTAATTCATTAAGAATGCCAAAAATATCACTTAAGTATGCCAATTTTGTTACCGAAAAGTCATCTTCAAAAATAGTTACCAAATGAGATTGCTTTTCAATGAGAAAAATGTAAATCTCATTCCTGAGTTCACATACTCTGCTCAATACTTTTCCATGAGACAACCAACAAACTTCTGTATGAAACAGTAAATGGGTATGGTTAACTCCAATCTCTGAACAAAATATTTTAAGAAGTCGGCTGTTCAGTGAGCTTCCTTTAATAAAATTAACCATTTTCATCACATTTTTCAATATATCCATTAGACTTTGTGGAATTTCTTTGGATACCAAAGCTTCTTGATGAATAAAACAGTGATTCCAAAGAGCACTGTTATGGGTTGCTTCTAACAATTTTTTAATAATCCTGCTATGTTTTCCCGTCATATTTGCTGCTCCATCAATGGAAATTACCTTACGTTTTTCCAGTTTAATTTATATTGACCAAGAACACACTTATCTAATCCAGTTATATGTGAATTTAAACAACACAACAGATCCTCTATAAAATCACCTCACCACACATATCTCACATAAACCAAAAGTATTGGACAACTTGCAATATCAGTGCTCTCATCAAGCTGAATAGCAAAATCTATACCAGATTGTAGTCGTGTAATTAGCATTGCTTCTAAATGTTTTGCAATAATAGTACAGATTCGACGAGATATTGTATTATCACTAAGAGGTATAGTTCTTAATTTATATATATATATATCAGCTGATTTATCATCAAAAATTGTACGTACCATATCCATACATGGTAGAAGAATAATTTTTTCAGCAGCCATGTGAGCCATTTTCTCTTTTGCCACTCAATAGGCAATTAAATATGATGATAATAAGGCTCTCTAATTCATAGTTGTGGAACAACTAAAAAACTGTGGTGATAACTCGATCTTATTTCTTTCTCTTTGTAAGTGGTCTTCCTTATGTCCTTCATCTTCCTCCTCCACTTTCATTGTCATTATACCTTCCGTGTCCTGGGTAGCCTGGGGAGACAGATCTGCAGTATCCCTTCATTCAGCAGTCATTATTCAGGTTCAAGGAACTGGCTCACTTGACCCAAATAGGGTCTGTGTGCAGAACTGTGCTTTCTGTCCTAGGTGTTTTATGATATTGGTTTTTGCAATCCTGAAATTGGAAAAATTTAATAGCAGTATTAAAAAATAACATTGAATTGCTGTGCTGCTAACACCTTATATAAGCATTCATGAAGACAATTCACAATGGGGTGACATGGTAAATGCTGAACAACTGCCATTTATATTAGCATACAGCTAGTAAATTACATTTAGTAAATTACATACACAACTCATTTAACACCCATAGAAACTTAATAAAGTACATGATTATTACTTCTATTTTACAGATGAAGAAGAGAAGCTGAGAAAGATTAAATAACATATAGTTAGTGTAGCAGAGTCATTACTCAAACCATTACTGAAGCCCACTGCTACACTGCTATCAAATCACTCTAAAAAGTGACCTGGTCATTCTTAAAAAGTGATCACCAAAGCAAGGTGTAGAAGGTATGAACTGCAAGAGAGTGCCTTGCCTGTGGAGTACGGTAGACAAGCCAGCCACCTGCTGTCAGAAAATGAAGTTAAACTATAAATATCTCCATTTTTATTTCAATCTGCCATCTCACCATTATCTGGTATATATCTGGCCATTAAAAAAAAAGTGGACTTGGATTATTGGGACAAAGGCTTAGATAATCCAGATCATGGACTTTGAGATGGGGTATATTTGAGATTTTATTTCAAAATAATTAGAGCTTGTATTTGTATTGTAAAAATATTGAAACTCATTTAACCTTTCCTGATAGGCCCAAACTTTTTTTGTCCCCCTCTTATAGCATTTACATTTTTTCATTATTTGTTACCCTTCTTATGTTCATCTTCTAACAATTCTATTCTCTTTGTTCATTTCCCTTCATTTTCAATTAAAAATTCATTTTGTCTTGGGTATTTTAAGAAGATCAAGGAAAAGGAATCTTGGTTTTTGATATCTAGGTCAAAGATTTAAAGATGGAGAAGGGGGGAATAATACATCCCTAGAGGCATTCCCCCACGGTGGCAATATGAATTAAAATGAAGGGACTCCAAGGAGGTGAAACTCAAAGATCAGGGCTGGGGTCAGGAGCATATTCACTTCTCCCTAATCTAGAGAGGCCCTGGATGTTTTCCTGCTCAGATTCTGGACAAACAACAGTAGAAAGACTGGGTTTTATTTTACATTTCTTGAATGATCCCGGCACCCAGTCACCTCCTGACTTTACTCATTAACTGTTTCCATCACTATTTTAGTATGTAATATTTTGATAGCTTTTACCCTGAAATTTAATTTTTCATGCTTTTATGCCTTATCTCAACTAAGTTATTCTTCAAGAATAAAGACTGTTTTTTGCTTTTATTGTTGCCCTGAAGTCACTTATCGCTGTTCCGTGCAACCCACAGACATTTAAAAAATATTTGTTTGAATGAATACAATATCAACATTTTCTGCCCATTTGTAGAAAGTTCAACAAATTCATCATAGGCCTGGTCTTTCAATACTTAGAAGGGCATGTCATTTATAAATTAACAGATTTCACTACATTGCAACTATGAGGCTATTTATGAAACATCTGAATAAGAATGGGAGAAATATTAAAGCAGCAGATTTAAAATACAGAAATAAAGTATGTGTCAAAGGGTAAGTTACTTACACATCTCCTATTACACTGTGTAACCAACCTCTTTCTCCGCAAATAGTAAGGTTTCATTGATCTGCTTTCAGTGTATTCTCCACAATTCATTTATTGATTGCAAATGATCTCTTTAGCACTGGCCTGTATAACTGTTTACTTTGGCCTTCTGCCCCTTAACCGTCTCTCTCAACAATAAAAATATCTTTCTGTGTCCTGGTGGTGCTGCAAGAAATAGAGATGGGGCATTAGGTTTGGCCTACCTGCATTTTTCACAGTTAAATCACTCTAGCAATGAATTTCCATGTTGGAAGGGCCCTTTGAGATCATCTAGTTTATTTTACTTAGGAACAAATTGAGACTTGGTGGTGTTTTTTCCAAGACCATGTTGGTAATCAGTGGCAGGGAGGGAACTTGGTAATTAATCTTCTAAAGGTCCAACACACTTTCCACTACACATCACAAACTCCCTTCACTACTCACCGCACCAAGTCAAGCTCAGCTGCCACAACTGAAAAATCTAACTAATGTCTGAAAACATACTTTTAAAAAAACATTCAGAATGTTAGGTAACTGAAAGGAAAATGGTGAAGTGTATATAATCTTCCTACTGCATCCAAATCATGTTATTCACTAGGCTTCACTCTTTAATCACCACCATTAAAAAAAAAAAAAAAAAAAAAAGCCCGCATAACTTCGTAGCCTCATTTTACACCTTGGGGGCCCTAGGAACCTAGAAAAAAAGCTCTCACTAGGAAAGCGAAAGGAATACTTCCGTGGGGAAGCACGGATATTAAACTAGGGTCATGTCTCCGACCCCTTTGGGTGAAAACCTAGGACGAGACTGCCTCTTCATGGTCCTAGAGGCTTCTCATTCCAGTCCGGAAACGAAAGGGTCGTCAACCCCTTCCCGCTTGGATCCAGGGCTGTCTCTGTAATGGGACGGCGATTCCTACAGCCTTGGCCGGGAGTGTGGGGGGTGGGGATGGGGGTGGGGGTAGATGTGTGTCTGTCACAGAAGCCGGAAGTATGTCAACCCACGTCTTCCGGGACCTCTCTAGGAACGCGGGAAGACCGAGTTCCTGTTCCCCTGATCGCTGAGTTTCGAGGTTAAGTTTCTCTTGGTAACTATCCTGGTCAGTTACTTATACGTTTTTCTTTTTCTTACTGATAGCAGGAATCATAATTCTAGTTATTGTCAAACAATAATAATACTTAGTGGTTGTGTGTCTGTGGCAGAGAAACTGAAACAAAAATGTAGACAGGAAGATCAAAGTGAAGTCAAGAATGGTTTCACAAAACTTGCTTCTCTGGGAGGATCTTGATTATGCATTGCCACTTGAATGAGCAATATTTTCAAATACTTGATCTGGCAGTATTTTCAAACATTTGATTTATGGGCAGCATAAATCCAATACTAGAAGTTGTAAGATTCTGAGCTCAGCTAATGTTCCCAGGGAGTTTTCAGAATAACAATAATGGAATTACTATAGTAAGTCAAATTTGAGCCATTTTTGCTGTCAAAGTGTTGTCACGATAATTATGGTTTTTACCATCTTTTAGAAAACAGTAACAAATCATAAATGACTGTGATGCGACTCTTAAGTTCTTAGGCAAATTTGAGCGCAACAATGGAAAGCCCACAAAAGGAATAGCCACCTGCTACTGAGGCTACCAATGACTAGGTAAAATTCTGAATAACCTTCCAAGCCCCGAAATATGTTCCATTCCCTATGAGGTTTGGCCTTGCTGTGGCTGCCATTGTTTTCTCTTTCTACTTCTCCATGACTCCTCAATAATACACTTGAATAGGTTTTTGTTCCTTTATCACTGGCTAGCTCGCTGACCTATGGTCCTCCTTAAAGACACCAGAATTTTTTCCTCCAGATACTTCTGCATATTTTTGTCTAGTGTTCCAAGTCATATCTGAGAGCCACTAAATTGTTATGCAGTTTTTCTTCATCTAAATCTGCCCTCTTCCCTCTACCCTCACCCCTACTTTTACATTAAAGCGATTAAATGGTCCAGGAAGGTAGGTTATTGAATGCAGCTGGCTGGGTATGTTTTGAGGGTGGGGGTGGGGGCAGAGACTATGGAGGCATTTACAATAATTCCATTCTTTGCTAACTGATTTACTGGTACAAGGAACCCAAAGTGTCCTGGTGGTTTCTCAGTTTCCAGTTCAGTGGAACACTTGTTGTATCTCCTAAAAGAAATGTAATTGCTGAGAATCACGACTATAACTCAGCAGACTCTAGGTACAGAGATAGGAAGCACAAATTCCACAAATGGATTACTGTTACCAGAGAGTAGGGTTCCCCTCTCAGTGCGTTGTCCAGGTTTCGATGTCTCAAACAAGGAATTGAACGAGAAACTAAAATACAGCAAAAAAGAATAGCTTTATTAGAAGTAATAGCACACTTCCAGACGTGGAAGCGGGCCTAAGCAAGAGAAGCGTGGTTGAAAGGCACAGTAACAAAGCCTTTGGAGTTTTTATCCCTATTTGCTGTGGGTCGTTACTTTTCATAGAGGATCAGGCTTCCTTGATTGACAACTAAGATTGACAGGACTCAGTGATTCATCATTTGCTTTCTGCACATGTTTGTTCCCAGAATTTAGCCTGTTATAATGATATTAATGAACTTACAGGCATATGCATATTATAACGATGGTATAACGAGGCTCAGGTGAATTGAAGGTCATTGGGTCTTCATTGCTCAGGTGCGAGTGACTGGTTGAAACTAGTACCCATTTTTCTGCTCACTTGTTTCCTTGTATGAGTTACTTTTAGCCCCTAAATGCCTTCTGGCTTGCTTAATTGTGGGCAGACTAGGGCGGACCCTTTCTAGAATAGGATGACCTCAGCGTCTTTGCTGGCGGACCGAAATCTCCTATCCAACTTTCCTGCCTAACCCTTTTGTCAGAGAGCTGTAAACTCCCTTATTATTAGTATGGATGTTGAGGGATGGGAAGTCTCTTTTTCTGTATCTGCCTCCTGCTAAGGAGGGCCGTAGCCACTGCCTATTGGG